GTCATCTATATATGCAGTGCACCACTCTATGGATACAGAAGGCTCAACCTCTTCAGAAGTTTGGCTCTACACATACAAGGCAATGTATGTGGCAAAAACACAAAATAAGAATGTCTGAATAGGGTTCAGGTTATATTGTATCTTTCCTCTGACTCAAATATTTATTGTTGTGTTTATTTAATAGAATATTTATTATTATTTATTTTATACTGCTCCATAGCCAAAGCTCTCTGGGCAGTTTACAGCAATGTAAAGTATTTTTCCCTGGTATACATAACACTTTCATCTCCGGTCCTTTTAACAAAACAGAAAAATTGTACTTGTTAGAGTTTTGAAGAATTTTTTTTCACCCCCACCCCAAACTTCATTAAACTGCCACATAGTCAGGAGGCCCTGCTGAATGGACTGTAGTGGGGGTGAACTCCAATGATCAAGGGGAGAGACCTTCCTCAGATGAACCCCTTTCTTTCATAAAAGGTTTCTTTTTCTTGCAGAAGGCAGATCTTGAATCCAGCTTTCAGTTAGCATGCATACAAGCTGCCATTTTCAAAACACTACTGTGCATTGGGGGTAATCAAAACAGTTTGGAGGGCACTGGAACCCACTGAAATGTCAAATACCCACCCTACAGAAACACGACAGTGTCTTTTCTGAGGGTCATAACTATCCTTACCCCAGGGAAAACTATTTCTATAACAGTGTCCATTTAAGAAGCAGAAGCAAGAAGGTACAGCTGTTCACCTGTCCCTCAGCTTGTGCCATTTAAGGAGGTCAAAGGGAACCTCCATCTCCCATCCTCATGTTTCAAGCCACTTCCTAGTTCTCCACACTGAATAGCTATTATTCTAAACAATAAAATGGGGCAGAATTCTACATATTAAAAAATACCAAAATTAATATTTGAAAGCCATGCTGCTTCCTTGACATATCATGAAAAGATCTGAAAGCAGAACGTGCAAACATGCTAAGGATCTGCTCTCCTTTCTCTCTTTTCCCTTCCTTCCGAAGTCTTCCATCTAGGCCTATGTCATGCCCTCCTGTCCTTCTCGCTTCCTCAGTCCTTGCATGTGTGTGCATGTGTGGGCATTTTCCAGACTCTCTAAAGTACTAAACCTTGGAAGTGGTGAAAATCTCTGGCCATCTCTATACTCTGCATTAGTTTTTGCTAATGTATTAGTGCATGCATGCTTTCCTTCCTTCCCTTGTTCTCATCCTTTCTACTACTACTTCTTCTTCTTTTGTTAAATGTGCATTTGTCATAGTTCTGGTCACATATATTTCCCTTCCTCTAATACAAGCACTATTTCTTGTATGTAGAAATATTACAGTAATTTAAAAACAAAGACACCTGGCAACTGTTTCTATTAGGAAACCAGCCTCTTCTCTAGTTCATAATATGCTCAATTGGCTTTAGATTGATCTGTGAATAAATTATAATCAAAACAGGCTTATTCACCTTAAAGCTTTGCAGGCTTAAGGTTTCATTGTTGATTCATTATGTTGTCAGTTCTCTATTGGCAGCCTAATGCTTTTATATCTAGATAGAAACAGTTCTACTGGTAGATACTGCTATCTTTAAATGAGTAGGATTTAGCTTATCCAGTGAGAACAAATTCATCAATGATGAATCCCCTGAGAAATACTGAAACAAACACCACATGGTTGCTGGAGATTTGTACAGTTCATCAGTTACAAGGTGCTTTTGGAAGCCTCATGCAGAAGATTTGCTTTCAGATAAAAAAAAAAAAGAGTTGGTGGGAACCCTGTGCTATAACACTTGAAACCAACATCTGCCAGATTTGACACTGAGATGGTTTCACATGTTACAAAATCTTCTGTCATTGCTGCAATAAAACATACCTACTCCATGGACATTGCTCTATACACACCTCACTTGCGCAAGCCAGCAGTGCATGCCTGTGAAAATGTTTTGGGCATAGTTAGTTCCAGAAATTCAGTCCTTCCAGGCTCGTGTGGATATCATTTCTGTGGACCTGTTCAGGCAGCCCCCTCATTGTGCCGTGGTTAAGAGGCCGAGCTGTGGACTGCCAGGTCTGTACCTCAACTCTTGTTTCTGCTGTAGACTCATTGGGTGGCTTCAGCAAGCCATGTTCTTCTAGCCTCAGCCCTCCACCTTCTAGCTGGAGAAAATCAGGTTGATCTACCTCGATAGCCTGACTGTCATAAGGATCACAGCAACAAGCAGAGCCTTTTGAATATTCAGAAGTGCCAAATAAATGTTAAGTATTATTATGACCTACTTCTTGTTACTGTATGGCAAACCTGACCAAGATACGTGTCTCCTGCCTCACCCCTCTGCTGGCAGCGGAACTGCTATAAAATATGCTATGTTCGACTTTCAGCGCCAAACCAGCAAGAAACTGAGAAGTCAGCTGCCCTCAATATGCAGCTGAGTAGGCCGATTTGGCTTTTCTGCTACCATCTTGAAAAGGTGCATGATTATTCTGCTTTGAAAAGAAAACATAGCTGAATTGTTGTACTGGCTGTTTGTATATTGCATGGCCTTTGCTGCTCATTTTGCCTCACCCTTTTAAAGCTGTGGCTTTAGGCTGATTTTGCCATGAAGAATCTTCTGAAGTTAATTTAAGAAAGCTAAAGGCAATAAGTGTTTGGAATGATGGCACTGTGGAAATAGGTGTTTCCTTAGGTGTGCCTGTTGTTCCATCAAAAGATTCCTTAGGTGTGCCTGTTGTTCCATCAAAAGATTCCTTAGGTGTGCCTGTTGTTCCATCAAGAGATCTTCATTATTTTAGATTTCCAAGTTTAAATGTCTTTAGCTTAAACATTTATGTTTGGTTGTTTGTTTGTTTGTTTGTTTTTGATAAGTTGTGAGCCAAATTGGGAGTTCAGAATAGCAAAAGATAGTTACTTTGTATTGCCCAGTTCTGGTTTGGTGCCTTTGACATGTGAATCAGTTTGCTTAGATGAGTTCCTGAATCTAATATGGGAGAAACAGTGACCTCCTACTTATTCAGTTGGGTGTATGGTTACAAAATTAGTAACAATAAATTTATTATACATTAGTATATATAACCAAACATTAGAGGAAAAGACGGGAACTGCATCTAGCCTTTCTGTTTGTGGGAGTTCTTTCAAGTTCTGTCTGTTGGAACACTCTTCCTATGATGCATTGAGCTTTCTTATGATTCTGATTTGGCTTGGCTTGCTCTGTTTGATTAAATGTTTTCTTACAATGAAGTTGGGGAGCCAATTGTCCACGGGCATATTCCATTTTCCAGGAAGAAGCCAACACTATCAACCAGTTTTGATTCATGGCACCACTTGCTAGTTCAGAGAGCGTGATGATCTCCCTGAGCTGCAGCTGGCTTTATCAGATTGACATGCAGTCTGTGGGAACTGGCATGCCTAGAAATTGGAACCAGTATTCCTAGGTTTCTGGCTGGCAGCATTTGGAGCTTACTATTCTTCCCCACTAGTGTATTATGTGAAAGCAAGCCCAGAGGCTAAAGATTAAGAAGTTCAGTGAGGTCAAACAGTGAAATGAATAAAATTAGCACTTTCTAGCGTTTGCTTGGAACTTACTGCCATTATATTAATAGAACCAATATTCCTTTAAGTACCATGCCAAGATAATCTCAGCATATGCTTTTTAAAGAGTTGTGGCAAATCCATTAGCTGTAAAAAGAGACCAGTGTAGACTGTTAAGCAAACTGGGTTTGTCCCCAAAGTTCAAGAACTGTTTATTTCATGATTTTCCTTGCAGCATAAAACTAAACTTATTTAATTATAAAGGGTGAATCTAAATTATTTATAAAAATGACCTGCATTTATACACAACAGAACCTTGGTGAAGCAATCTTCGGAATGATGGAATAACTGGGACTCACGAAAGTCGTATTAGAGATGTCTTGCATCTCTTCATGCTACTAAATTGTCTGGTTTCTAGTGTTCAAATACTGAAGCCTTCACTGCAGCACTGACAGCACACGTCACCTTCCAAGAACATCTCTGGTGATAACACGAGATGTTCAAAGCAACAATCAGGCTGCACAAGACTTTATTTCATGTGTGGGCCTGGGGCAGTTCCACTTTGCTCTGCTACTCTCCATCACACTGTTTAAGCACATTCCATTTTTCTCGGATTAACTGCCATGCCCTTCCATTCCAAGCTGGGTGGGAGACGTCCATGAGCAAATGAGGGGTTGTGATGGTGCCACCTCGTGCCGATTGTGGTGGGAAAGGTCAGCGACAATTATAGAGCTGTGCAACACTGGAAAACTCATTTTGTTTGAGCTTAGTGGACTTTGACACTTGGTCAACCCAACAGTCAAAAGAGTGCTGAGTCGGGGGCACTTTTGGCTTCTGCAAAATTGCTCAAAATATTTGTGCAAATTTAGAATTGAGAAATGCATGTCTCTAGTGCAATCAGGGCAAACTTGTTAGATTCTCATCACTGCTCTTACTATTGTAGCAGTTGACATGAGAGGTATGGAATCATCTGAATGCATAGGCACAAACTCCAAATTTTGTGCAAATTTTCCTTGTTTTTTTAAAGGTGCAAATCACTGCTCATGTCTGTTTGCTGGCTCAACTCGCCTCAGATCAGCTCAGTGCCAGCACAGATTCTATGAGGTTCACTTGAGACCATCCATCAGTTTTTACCCCACTGTCAGATTCTTCACATATCCATAGTGACTCATCCCTTCTCCAAGGAGGAAGTGACATAAAACATGTTTATTTTGCCAATCCACTCATCTGCTGTTGGATATGATGAGTGCAGAGCAAACCCACCACACCCTGTCCTTTTCTCATGGTACACCCAATACACCCCCTCCTTTACCCATTTTGTTAATTTGTTGTTGGAGATGGTGGGGACAGAGAAAACTCTACATGCTGCACCCTTTCCCTGTAGAGCGGGGTTGATAAAGAGGAAGATGTTTACCTCAATGGGGAATTGATGGCATGTTTTCATCTACATTTCTGTGCTGTGATAATTATATACTGCCTCTTTCTTTTAGAAACTTCCCTGTTTTGGCCCCTATCTTGAACAACGCAAGAAGATAATAGCGGAGAATAAGTTGAAACAGAGCAGCCCTCCTCCTCAGCCCAAGAAAAAATACTTTGTTCCAAAGAAGCCCATCCCGGCAGTGAAGGTAAGAAGACTAGAAAGACACACACAAGAGGAGGAGCTGTCACCAATGACCATTTTTGCGCATATTGTTCTGTTTCGATGACATGAGAGTGGGTCAGTGCATCAACAGCTGTGTTTGTTACACAGTGAAAGAAGCCTTGAGTGAGGCCTACAAGCCTTGAGGAAACTTCTCTGCCGCTTAGCATAGCATGCGCTGCTTTACCTAATGATGCTGCTTTCCTGGAAATGGATCACGAGCCTTGCATGAGTGCACCTTATTTTTGAAAAATGAAGCTCATCTATTTTTAGATTGTGGTTTGGTTAACGTCGATTGTTTTATCACATCTCTATACCAGATGCGTAGTCCATTTCACCTTGCCATGTGTATGGCAGTACAGAATACCAAGCTATCCTGTGATGAGGAACACCTTGGGGTAGTTTGATCACCTGTATGAGTCTACGTTAATTTACACAGCTAGGAAATACCTGCATTGCCTGTTCTTTTCCAGTGAAAGAGCGGATGAGTGCCAGCCCTTACCTGAGGAAGCAGACCCTCCTGTTTCCATGTCAGCTGCTTGGAACATAAGAGAGGGCAGCTCTGTCTGGGGTGTTGATGGCTTACAGGACTTGCAGACCCCTTTGAGCATCCCTCCCCTTGTTTGATTGTTCGGGGGAGGTATAACTAGGGGTCCAGATCACAGGATGAGCCTGCATGTATTCAGCAGGTCCAGAGAGGGCTGCCAAGGATGCTAGAGTTGGGGCCAGAGAATACTGGCCCTTCTCATAGAATCACAGAACAATATTATTATTATTATTATTATTATTATTATTATTATTATTATTATTATTATTATTATAACATTTCTATGCCGCCCCTTGCCGAAACCTCGGGGCAGCTTACAACATGATAAAATACATTGAAATACAATAGTACATAATAAATTACCATTAAATATAAAAATACAAAAAATACATTGATTTACAAAGGGCCATGAAGGCCATCGGGTCCAGCCTGCAGGTGCAGGACACCACATTACACCATCCCCTGCAGATGGCTGCCCATTTGCCTCTTGAATGACATAGAAACATAGAAGCAGAACGAGTCAGAAGGGGTTTCCCGGGCCATCTAGTCTGACCTCCAGCACCAGCCGGCTCCGCTCACGACATGCCCACCATGTGGACGTCCAGCCTATCCTTGAACACCCGCACTGATGGGGCCTCAACGACCCCTCGTGGAAGCCCATTCCACACCCTCAGGGTCCCAACTGTCAGGAAGTGCTTCCTGGCATCCAAATGGAACCTTGGCTCCCTGAGCTTTGCTCCGTTGGAGCACGTCCTGTCTTCCTCTGCAGGGGAGAACAGGCCTCTACCCGTCTCCATGTGACATCCCCTCACATACCTGTATGTCGCCAACAGATCCCCTCTGAGTCTCCTCTTCTCCAGGCTGAAGCCACCCAGTTCCCTCATTCTCGCCTCACACCCCATCCCCTGCAAACCGGCCACCAGCCTTGTGGCCCTACGCTGCACTGACTCTAACCTGGCTATATCATTTCTGTAATGAGGGGCCCAAAACTGAGCACAGTACCCCAGTTGCGGGTGCACCAGAGTCGTATAGAGTGGTAGTAACACCTCTCTCGATCTAGAAGCCACACTTCTGGCTATGCAACCAAGGGTGGCGTTCGCCCTCTTGACCACCGCATCACACTGCTGACTCATGTTTAGCCTGCAGTCAACCAGCACCCTGAGGTCCCTTTCACAAGTGCTGCTTTCCAGCCACTTGTCCCCTAACCTGTACTTATGACACCTGTTCCTGTGCCCCAAGTGCAAGACCTTGCACTTATCCACATTGAACGCCATCCTGTTGTCTCCAGCCCACTTCCATAGTCTGTCCAGATCCTTCTCTCACGCCCGCTGGCCTCAAAAATGGAGGCCAGCGGGCGAGAACCCCTGCCAACTCTCTAAGTACTCTCAGGTGTAACCCGTCAGGGCCTGGCACCTTTGTAATGTCCAATGCCCTTAGGAGCCCCTCAACTTCAAGGCGGGTGACTCTAATCTGTGCCCCTAAGTCCCCAGCCTCATCTAATCTCCTATGTGGATATCCCCCATCCTGCTTTGGGGAGAACACAGAGGCAAAATAGTCATTTAGCATCTGTGCCTGTTCCCTCATATCAGTCACTGGATCTCCTTCCTCGTTATTTAGTGGTCCCACCACTTGTCTCCCCTTCCTCTTCCTATTTACATGCTGAAAGAAGCCCTTTTTGTTGCTCTTGATATTCTGGGCAAGTCTCAGCTTGTAATCAGCCTTAGCCTTGTGAAGAATCCTTCTGCAACGGGCTTCCTCCTCCTGGTATACCCTTTTGTCTATTTGCCCCAATACCCATTTCCTACAGAGGTTCCTCTTTCATCTAATCCCTCTAACCACCTCCTTTTGCATCCATGGCAGCACTCTCCTCCGCCTCCCCTTACTAACTAGAGGTATCGTCAAGGCTTGCGCCTCCAAAACCTCCCTTTTGAGTGCTATCCACCCCTCCTCAACACGCTTACCTTCCAGTAACCTATCCCAGGAGACTTTCCCCAGTCTGACCTTCTGTTGGCCAAAGTTGGCCCTCATGAAGTCCCATTTTCTAGTGCTCGACCTGCTGCACGTCGCCAGTCCCCTGATCTCAAAGCAAAGGATGGAGTGATCACTCGCATCCAGAGCTCCCCTAATCTGTACTTCATCTATCAGCTCCTCCCTATTGGTCAAGACCAAGTCAAGGATGTTTCCCCCCCCTCGTCGCCTCTCAGACCCTCTGTGTGAAAAACCCTCCCTCTATAGCTTCTAGGAAGCGACGTGACCTGGCTGTCACCGCCGAGTGAGTCTCCCAACTAATATCTGGAAGATTGAAATCTCCCATAATTACCGTGTCTCTCCCCCGAGATATCTTTGAATCTGGCCTGTCAGGACATCATCCAGGGTCTCAAGTTGACCTGGAGGGCGATAACATACCCCCACTGTCAGGTCTCTTTCCCTGTCAAAACCCCTAAGTTTCACCCAGACTGCTTCTACCGAATCCCCATCTGTGCTGCATTCTATCTCACTGCATCCTATCCCTTCCCTGATGTATAAAGCAATGCCCCCACCCATTTCCCTTCCTGTCCTTTCTAAAAAGGTGATACCCTTCTATGTTCACATTCCAGACTTGCCTTTCATCCCACCAAGTTTCTGTGATTCCCACCAGGTCATACCCTCCTATTCCCAGGAGAGCTTCAAGCTCTTCCTGCTTATTACCCATGCTCCTAGCATTGGTGTACATGCACCTCAACTCCTTTCCACAGCTTCCTTTCCTTGGAGTTCCCAGCCTCCTCCTTCCTCCCATCCTCCCTGATACCTGGCCCCTCTCTGTAGGAGTCCTGTCAGTCCCTGCAGTACCTCTAAAACCCTGCTCCCACAGCCCTGATCCTTTCCCCACACTTGTCCAGTGCAGACACGTTTCTGGGGGGCCTGAACCCACCTCCCCCAGCTCAGTTTAAAATCTTCCGGACGAAGCTCAATAGAGCATCTCCAAAGGACCCTTTCCCCATCCTTGTGAGGTTTAACCCGTCCCTTGCCAGAAGTCCATTGGCAAGAAACCGAGTGCCATGGTCAAGGAACCCAAAGCGTTCCTTCGGGCACCACACCCTAAGCCAGTCATTCACCTTGGAGGCCCTCCTGTCCCTTCCTGGCCCAAATCCCTGGACCAGTAAGATTGACGAGAAGGCCACTTGGGCCTTAGCTCCCTGAGTTTCTTTCCCAAGGCCTCGAAGTCCCTGGTGATCCCCACCACACTCTGCCTGGCCACGTCGTTTGTGCCCACATGGATCACCAGGAGTGACTGGTGACCCCCAGAGTGAACAAGACGCTCCACTCTGTCCTTCACATGCCGGATGCGGCAGGCAGCAAACCTCCCTTGTGCCCAGGTTGGGGCGGCACACCGCTGCCTCAGTGCCCCTCAGCAGGGAGTCCCCAACAACAATCACGCACCGCCGTGTCTTCCTGGTGGTGGTGGGCGGCCGTGCCCTGGCCCTCGCCTCTCCTGCAGCGGCCACCTTGCCGCTTGTTGTCCCAGGCTGGGGGTCCTGCTGGTCCCCAGAGGCCTCATCAGCCCCAGCCTCCCCAAGTGGAGAGAACCTGTTTCCCAGGTCCAGATTGGTGCCAGGAGAAGAAGGAGGCCATGCTGGCCTCCTGTGGGTGACATACCCCCATGTCTTTGTGGCTGCTCCTCCCCTGGCCTCTCCCTCAACCCTCTGTCCAGAAGGGGGCTGCTCCCGGGGGGCCTGGAGACCTCTTTCGGCCCTCAGGCACCTCACCTCCTCCTCTAGCAGGGTCACCATCTTGCACCGAGGGCAAGTGTAACCCTGCCTCTCCTGGGGGAGAAAAGCGAACATGTTGCAGCTGTCACAGCGGACAGCAACACCCGTGAGTCCCGAAAAAGGCCATCTCCTGGTCTGCCATTGGGATCCCTTCCGAGACCTTACCTTGGTCCCCTGTCTTGTCTGTCCGGCAGTTCCTCTCACTCGCCCAGTTCTCCCAGACAAAACCCACTCACACACGACCACAAGGATAAAATAAACTTAAATTGGAGAAAAAACAAAGCAAAGCACAGCACAGCACCCCCCCCCAAAAAAAAAACAAGGAGAGGAGCAAAAAAAAAAAAAAAACCCTCTGCGTCCCAGGGAAGGGAGTCCCCGGACAGCCCAGGCCGCAGCTAAGGGACGCAGACAAGGGACGACACCAAGAGGCCAGAGCCAAGAGGGCTTGCAGTGGCCAAGCGCAGCCTTATCAGTCCCTCCGGCCGGTGGCCCCGCCCCCTGCTCCCTCCTGCCCCCCCAAGCCTCTCTGGCCCCGCCCCCTTCCTCTCCGCTGCTCCTGGCCCTCTGCTCCGCTGCCCAGCTCCTCCCTTGCCTTCGCCAGTCCCCTGGCCACTCAGCCCTCTCTCCCAGCCTGTGCCTCTGCTGCTCTGCCGCTCTGCCAAGAGGCCAGAGCCAAAAGTGTGGGAGAGC